CTTGATGCTGCAAAGCCTGTTGGTGCACAGACTTCAAGACTCTGTTTTTTACCAATACGATTAAAATATTCACAAATAGCCTTGATGATCTTTGATTTTCCAGTACCTCCGGCACTACCCAAATATATTAACAATTGGGATGGCTTATTAGGACTATTAGGATAATTTCGATTACGGTGATCACATACAAGCATAAAAATTCGCTTTAGTTCATTATTCAGGCTATTTGAAATGTTTTGTAGATTTATTTGATCTATAGTCAATGATATTCGCAGGTCACTTGACCTTTATTTAGTAAAAGTTTTGGACATATTGTCTTTTTTATGTTTTTGATCTTCAGTCAATTGTTCCACTTGTTTTCTCAATGTTATAGTTTCTTGCCATTTCTGAATTAAATCATCATCTTCTTCACGTGAAGGTTGAACTTGACTTTCATAATTATCATGGGTCTAATTATCAGTTTCATTTTGATTTTCTTTTGCAAGCTCATTCGTGATAAATAAATGAAATATCACATTATCAACGAATTTTACATCGTGTAGTCCAGAACCCATAATCATATATAGATTTAGAGGATTCAAATTATCATCATCAAAATCCTCTTGATCAATCAACATTTCAATATCATTGCCTTGGGTATCATAACCAACTACTGACCTTTCTATTTTTCAAATTTTCGCAATTTCAGAGTTTTTATGGGACATTTGACGTAATTGTCTATCTAACTCTGTTTCTTCTGCACAACAATACAAGAGTTCAATATTATCTATTATAGTTCTTAATCGTAGTGATAAATCTGAACTCTGCAAAAAGTCATCACATGATTTATGCTACGATTTGTGTCCATTTACAAGGTCATTCGCAGTAGTCCAAGGCTTAAAGAGTAATAGAATACAAAGCCCATAAAGTTCTATATTTTCAATATCATCTTTACGTAGTATGCCTTTTCCACAAATCAAAGGAATTCTTTCACTTCCATTACTCCAATGAACCTGTATATATGGAGAATGCTGTGGATATATATTGTTGTGATTGCACGTTTCATCACATTCTTCTTCTCTACCTAAAAAAAGAACCTGTCCACTCTTGTAACTCGTCTTTTACGATTTTTCTGCCTTGCGATTTTGTCAAGTTCTTTTTCAGTGATTTTTATTTTGTGAATTGTTGCTACATAGTCATAAAGACATATGTTATTTAACTGCTCACCACGATACATATAGTCTATACGTAAATTCGTAGCTGTCATTTTCCTACTTTCACAATTTATCACGAACATTTTATTACTAACAAAACTATCTTCATTTAACTCATCATTATCATCATTTAGTTCATTATTACTCAAGTATGTTGGTTTAGAGGCATAGTTTTCAAAGGGATATCGTGAAGTCAGGTACGTCTTAAAAGAACCAAGAAAGATTGAGACAAACTTGTCTGGAGTATAGTGATCCCCCAAGCTCAAAAGATACATTGATACCTGGGGCCCGGTTACTTCTATTTACCCCGCCATTTTATTAAGGCACATAGTAATAAGCCGCCGAGATCTTGTTATGAATTTATCTGATATTTTATCAGATATTGTAGTATAAATTTATTCAAAGTCATGGCACACATTAAAAATGTATTGTGAATACTCGCATCAGATTTAGTTATATAATCTGTGATATAATGAAAATATGCTAATGCTAGTTTGGTAATTGCAATAAACTTGACATTGTTGTTTCCACGACAACTAACAGTTAAGTAAAGATTATGGTTATTAATATACACATTACGCCATTGAAATGCTATAATCCCAAGTTCAGTGTAAATTTTTCTGGGTGGTTTGACTAATTCTCGAGGAAAGTCAAACTGACAATCAGATAATCGTCCGCGATTGTACTTTTTACATGATCGAGTACACCTGTGAAATAATGTTCGCTTGGCAATTACAAGAATATCCAAATGAAGTTTTTCATCAAAATCGAGAGACTGTGGATCTGGAATTGGTAAAAATGACGGGTGCATTCTCCTTTCCAACATTGTCTTACAAGCATTATACTCAGCACACAACATTTCATCAGTCAAATAATTATCACCAAGAAAGAGATAAGCAATATCTTCTTTAACAATCTCATTAATATAGCTCATTAGCCTGCTTACAAAATTTTTATCACTACGAAGATGGTTATGCAATTCAACGGAATTAAGAGCTCCCCAGAGCCAGATTAACATATGGCAGTGTGGTGTACTATGATCTTTGTATTCAATCACTCCATAATAATTTTTTAGTTTTCCAAATATACCACTTTCAGATTTGTTATATCCAAGAATAATTTCGATTATTTTTTTTACAAGGATATTAAAATATTTAGCCATCGTGGTTGGATCGAGGTAGGCTAATCTGGCTCTTTCAGTTGCTGTTGGAAATTGTTCCAGAAGTAATATATTGACATTGACTTTCTTTTCTGCATACATCATTACAATTAGGCTGTGCAGATCTGCAGGATTGATTGTTATAAATAACGAAGAGGTGCATCATCTCGTATAGTAACTGCATGGATTTCATTACGAAGTCAGTTACGTGATCTATGTAATCCCATAATTTTTTCACCAACAATATTAAGATTTCTCAGTAATTCAACAATGGCTTTATTAGTTATCAGTCGTTGATTTTGTTCTTGTTCAATCGCAGTTTTTATATCATGCATTGCAGTTTTGAAATTAATTCAGCTGACTTTTCAAAATTAGACTGTTTTGTTATCAAGTATGTTCCTGTTGCAATTTTTCTCCTTCGCAATATGTCAAATATAGCAAAAACAAATGAGCGATGATGTCTAAACTTCAGATCATGCAAGCATAATAGTTGATTAATGTACTGTTTAAATGGTATATGATGTTTATGAAATCTATCTTCGTGGCTACCAATTCTGTAAGGAAATAAAACTGGAAAGGTGGCAGGTAAGAGCGCAGAATCCGTATATTTATTTTTAGGTTTATCCGTATGTGGCATTAATATTGTACTTGAGTAATTTTCACTATTTTCAAATGACTCTTGTAACATTTTTTCAAGTAATTTTAAGGTGCGATTTCTTTCAGAAATAGGAATATCGTATATGTATATCATGCCTGAACTTCTTAACTCAGAAGCACTCTCAATAGGATCATGTAAATTGATGTACTCAGTTATCTCTTCATTATCGCACAACCTATCACCTTTCACATTATTCGAGTTATTATTTAGTTCGTCACTTTTACAACTATCGTCTATCAGATCTGTCACATATCCAGTATAATTTTTTATTTCTTTTAGATAAATGTTAACCATTACTGTTGTTGCTAATAAGGAAGTCAGTATGTCATCTTTCGGTAAAGCATCAAGCTCTGATTTATCTATCTCAATATTTTTATAAAGAACATTGTATTTTATTAATCAGCATAAAGCCGCAGCAATTTTTTTTTCTGCCTCCTTCAATTGTTCTTTGGATGGTTGTCTCTGCTCAACGAATATAACCTTTAAATAATCGCACAACCGGTACATGGGTAAAGGTAAAATATTATTAAGTGAAGTCAGATTTTGAGTAAATGTAATTATATGTCCTTTCAATTTGTGATGAATGTGTTCTTGATTAGTAAGTTCAATTAAATTCATACATAAATAACCCACTAA